TATTGACCACCCCATCCACAAACATCACTTCAACTCAAAATATGTTACATATTTTGATTTCCTGTGAAGTAATGCTGCTCTTCTTAGAGCTACTTGTTTTGATGTTGATTTTTTTCATGTGAGATGCTCAGCCTTCTTTGCATCTCAGTGTGTAACAGAACTCCTGAGGAATAATTCATGCTACGCATGTGTGCTGATCTTGGTTAAATCTTAGCAGTTCCTTCCATTAGAATGCAGTTTGGGAAAAAAAGACTTACTTATGTCTGTTGAAATTTGAATATATTTTTCATGGAACTTGACAAGCAGATTCTTTAATCTGTATGCAAAATAAAGGTCCATACATAGCCAAGATAAGTCTAAAAACCTGTCTTGTATTCTACACTGTAGTAAATATATGCAGAATGGTATTGGCGTATGGTAGACTGATAGATCAATGAACAAAATGAGGAGCTCAGAAATGGAGCCTCTGTCCTATGGCAGACAGTGGAGATGTGTTCGTCAAACTCTCTCTATTTTTTTCCTGAATATAAATTAAGCTACATTTCTCAGGCTGACTTGCTGGCCCTGTGTGTGACTGAGTTCCAGCCAATAAACTGCGGACGTAAATTATACATCAGCTGCAGCTCATAAAGTCCTCCAAAGAACAATTTTTCCTCATCGGAATACTATTAAGTTCTCTTGAGAGCCCCTGAGAGGACAAAAGGAGTTGGGGTCCCTGAGTTCTACCTGGAGGACATCTTCCCAAGACAGCAGGCCATCCAGATCACCTGGGTTAGATGGTCCGTGACCCCAAAATAACTTCACATGAAGTTAGTAAGATTTGAGGGCTTAATTGTATGCCTTCCCTACCACATTACGCATCATGGAAACTGGGTTGTGCACACAATGGAGAGAAGACAGACTGCAGGATGCAGAACTGGGAGCATTGTCTGTTTGTGTAAGAAACGACTGTAAGTTTTATTTATATTCCATTCCTCATTCCAGGTAGATTAATGACTTCAGTGTATAAACAAAGCAAAACTTTACAAATCTTTAGATGAGTACGCAGGAGAACATCATTATGCTGTCAGGATAGGGAATGGAAGGGTAAGACACACAAGTACAAATCAGGGAGGAAAAGACGGATAAAAACCAACTCCATTGAAATACAAAAGGTTCTATTAGGAATGAATACAAGCCAGAGCTGGGAGAACATTTGAAATATATACCCAAAAAATACCATCCTCCCATATGTTCAAAGAACAAGGTGCAAGAGCTCGGTTGAAAAAAACACTCAGCTCTATGACTTGTCAGAACCTGAAAACCAATTAATATCATGCCCGCTGGTTAGCAGAAGTAAAGTGATGGTGCCTTTGCTGCCTGTAGTTAATGTGAATCTCAGTGAGGAATTCAGTTTAGAGTATCTTGGAAAGTCAAACAGTTTCCCATGTCCCAGCATTTCACTGGCCGTGGAATTGGTAATGTTTTATAGTTCTTGATCTTATGATCCACTGTGCTGATAACTTTTTCGAGAACTTTTCTCTAAGCCCGAAATTGTTCATATTTTTAAAGCTGGCCATATTCTCACTCGTTTTGTTAGGCCCATTGCCTGCAGGTCCAAGGAGGTTCCTTCTGTCCTTTCTTTCCTTTTCATATAGAGCTACCCATCTGATAGCAATCCTCAGTCTCTTTCCATGTTCCTTTGAAACACTGATTTACTTTGGTGACTAGTGGTAGGACTTAAATTTAGCATATGAGTTAATAACTAATGATAAGCCTGGGGATGTAACTCAGCAGCACAGCACCTTCCTGGCAAGCGCAAGATTCTGAGTTTGAGTCCCATTATCCAAAACAAAACACTAACAGTCAGCACATACAGCATGCCAGACTCTGTTTTCTCTACTAACTCTTACATCAACTTTTTACAAATTCACTCATATTACATCTTTTAATTCTCACAGAAGCTTTATGAAGTAGATTATCATTTCCCACTCGTAAATTAAGAAACTGAAGGGAGATGGTAGGTGTGGTAGGTGGTGTTCCTGCCTTGGTCATGTTGTTTCCGTCTGTGCTTTGCCAATATTTCTGCTGCTCTGTGGCCGAGCTGCAGGGAGGTGCATTGCCTGGCCCTTGGGGGCCTGGGTAGGTAGGGACTGGTTGGGAAAGAGATGACCCAATAGTCATATGAAACACTTTGACTCTGAATTCCCCAGTGCCTTTTTTCTGGGTCACATAAGCAGTTTGTTTATTTCCAGTTGTTTTCTTGCTCCTCCTAAGCAGTGGTTTAATGTTGTCATCATTATTGTGGAGAATTTGAAGAATTTTTAGAATCCAATAGTCATTTCCAACTTCAGAGTACTTTTGTGCAGTTTTAATTACTGGTTGACTGAAACCCCGAACTGTAGGTTTCCAAAGAGCAGGACTGTCCATTCCTAACTGTATCCCACAGGAAATGGACAAGACACGGATTTTATTATTTTTATTTCCTGTTTTGACAATGCAGCCCTCTCTCAGAGGAAAGTGTGTACCCTCACTGACACAGGTACTTTACAGACACATTTCTTCCCAGCCTGGAAAGCACCAAATCTCCAAATTGACATATTCACTAAATAACGAATTCCACATAGGCAAATGATACCAGATGCAAAAGAATTTGATATAGGGATATTTGAATGCTGCAAATGATACAAAACATTTCTCTACCTAAGATATTTTAATAAGTTGTTAAGTAAAACACTGTATAAGCTTTTTTGTGCTCAATTCAACTTCTGCATGTCTCAGTGAGTAGATCGTTCTGGCAGCTTATCAGCAGTGAGCTAGACAGTAGATAATTCCATGCAGACTATTTCCAGTGGCCAAGCCCTTGTCTCTTCTGAAATACAAACTTTCAGAGAATCTCTGTTTTCTAGCATTGGGGACTGGTGAACCTCCTTGATGATTCCAAAACTATGACTCTCTGGGCTGTGAGCTTCTAATGCCAGTTTTCTTGACCGAATTCAGATCAAACACGTATGCTTCTGTGTGTGACACCCAAGACACAAAGCAGAGCCTTTCTGTGGAGTCTCAGCACATTTATTTGGCTTGCTCTGCTCAAATGCGTTACCCTAGCCATGTATACAACTGTTAAAATTCTTGCACAGCAGCTCAGAAGAACTGTAGGGTATAAACTCAGAGAAAATACAGTACATGCTATGTTATCCTTTCTTATAGATTCTTTCCTTAGCAATAACATAAATCTTGCACAATTCAAACAGACTCTCAAGTCTTTTTAATTATTATTATTATTTGTCTTTTTGAGACAGATTTCACTATGTAGTTCAGGTTGGCTTTGAACTCATTTTGTAACCCAGGCCAGTCTCAAACTCACAGCATGCTGAGGGAGACTGCATCACCACACCTGCCTTTCATGTCTTTAGAGGGACAAAAGCAACAATCTTTTATTCTGAATGGTTGACAAACCCCTGGTTGTAGTGAACACTGCATAGCATTTACTACTATTTTAATACTACTATTTTAATGCTGGTTATGTTTCAGTAGAATATTGTGACCATCCTTTTAAAATGATGAACACAAAAAATTCAGTCTTCACTCTAATGCCCTCTTGTCCAATCTTTCGTCTCTCACGGCTGCCATTGCTTATTATTTATGGTTGATGGTCATGATCCTACAACTGGACAGGTTCGTTTTAACTAGGTGGCAATGCAGCATGTTTGGACCCTCTAAATTTTTGTATTAGGTCTCACAAGTGTACACAAAGATACACTTGTATATGAAAGATTTTTCTTTCAACACCAGATAGATAGGTGGTAGTGTCATCTTTAAAAGTTTGAGATATATAAATCACAAATATCTAGAAGAAAAGTTTGGGTCACAACAGGTTTCCATGTTTAAATCTGACACAAGAAAGACATGTGTCTCAATACACCCTACCTTCAGAATGTCAGAGCAATTGATTGTAAGGCACTATCCCATAGATCAAAAAAAAATGGCTTCTATTTTGAGTGGAAAATTGCAATTATCCATATGCGCCTTCTGGCCATGAATTTATTGAAGCTTTAGAGCAGGGTCCTCCCAGTTTGTAGAAGCCCCCACTTCTCAAACAAAAGTATTTGTGAGTTTCAAAAGATTCTGTGTCTCATGCTCCCTACCTTCATCCCAAGCCTCCTGTCCTGGAAGGAATTGAACTAGATTTCTAGGATGTCAGAACAGCATCCCAGGCTCATGGGACATGTGTAAAGTAAGTGCTCTGGGTTCATGCTGTCACATTTCTCAAGTCAACTAGTTATAGATCAAAGTTACACAAAAGTTGCGAGTATTGTTCCATGGTGCAGCATTTGCAAAGCATGAGTAGGGACCTGAGTTTAATCCCCTGACCCCACAATAAAGCAAGAAGAAAACATTGCCTCTGTGCTGAAAGTGCACAGACATACAAACTTGTTTCTTGTCACTGTTCCCTATACAATACAGTGTAGTAACTATTAACATAGAATTTGCATTGCACTAAGTCATTTAGAGATGATTTAAAGCAGAGAATGTGCCTCGACTTTGGAAATACATGACATTTTTCCTAAGGGAACTTCAGCATCTGCAGATTTTGATATCCACAGTGGGATCTGGAACCAATACCCCACTGATACCAAGGGCTGACTGAATTTTTACGTTCACCTCTCCTGGGTTACTCACATTCTATTTCAACAAAAGAACTGCTCATCCTCCGGGGATTATCTGGTCGATGCTTGTCATAATCACAGTTACACATAAACAAAGTGTGGGTGTGCACATGTGTAAAATTTCATAGGAGACAGGCCGCTCTGTCTTCAGTGTAGATTTGAGTGCTGGACTCTGCGTAATAACTAAGGGAGTCCTTTTCCATAGCTCGTTGGAAAGAAATACTTTTCAAGGGCACTCAGCAAGAGGTCAAGTTCTAAAGCCTGAGGACTGATGGGCGAGTGCCAAAGGCGGGGGTGGCATCCATTTTTCATGAAATCATATTTAACGCACCCACTCTCTGCCTCCCACAGGTTCAACCTTTGGGAGTGAAGAGCAGCCAGCTCTGAAGACAGCTGTGCCTTTTAAGGACACATCAAAGGGGGCCGGCCGGGTGGCCTCGCCAGCATCTTCCAGTGTGACAACACCCCGTAGGAGTCTACTGCCGGCACCCAAATCCACTTCCACACCTGCTGGTAAGACTTTCTGCCTGGTGAGACTCCACAGGGGAGAGACCTTTCTTCATTAATAAAAAGTCCTTTGAAAGCCCCATGTGCATCTGTTGTTTAGATGAGATGATAGAAGAGTTTTAAATGACATTTAAAATTAATAATCCCACTGTTTTCATGGCACTTGCATATGTTTAAAGTCTCACAGCTGCCTCCCAATCCTCCTCCTGCCTCATTGCTCTTTGAATCACAGTTTCACTTTCAAAAAGCAAGAACCAAGCTATTTTAAGCAGTCTCACTAGGCTCAGAGAATCAGGAGCACATGAAATCCTTTGGAAGTTTGCCTGTGATCCCAAAACTGTTGGGAGAACTGCTGCCCCCTGCTGGCTCCCTGCTTGTACCTACAAAGCTGAATGGGTGACCCCGCTAGGGACCTGCTGCTCCTGTAGCATAGTTGACTCCAGAGCCTCGCTTTGTACTCTAGATCCGTGTCTGCACCTCAGATCCCCAGGCCATGCCTCTCCTTACCCATGACACGAGTGGCTGGACACAGGGAACTCAGCCGTGCAGAGATGAGAGCAGCAAAGGTGCTGGTCCACATACACTGCAGAGGAGGTCCACCCTAGGCTGGGTCCCGCTGTGCGGTTTCCTCCCACCTCTGCCCACAGTGAGCTTTGGGTATGTTGTCATTAGCTTCATCTCTGAATATGGAAAGCACACAACCAGGAAGGTAGAGTCGATGCCCAGTCCCGACTACTATAGATGGCTCACTGAGGTTGGTATTTATTCCATCATATTTTTGCTACCAATATCTATCTATCTATCTATCTATCTATCTATCTATCTATCTATCTATCTATGCATACATGAATTTTATGAGTATTTTGAAGATGAGGGGGCATTACAAGTTGAGCCTCCCTTATCTGGAAATCTAGCATCTCAACTTCTCCAACTCAGACATTTTTTAAATGCTGACATGACAAGTAGGAAATTCCACACCTTGTCTTCATGTGGTGGGTCACAGTCAAACTCAGGTACATTGAAAATATTGTTGAAAATTATCTCCAGGCCATGTATATGAAGGTACATGAAACGTAAGTGAATTTTGCACTTAGCTTTGAGTCTTCAAGACACATACATACATACATATATACATACATACATTCATATGTATATATATGTAAATACTCAAAAATCTGAAACATAAAACACTTCTCTGGTCCTGAGCACTTCGAGTGAGGGTTATTCAACCTGTGTACCCATTTTTCTACATACCATTTTCCTCATTCAAAGTATGTCATAGAAAGAGTCTCAGTTGGTGATATGACTTATTTGTACCAGTGGTTTCAGGGTGTGAGTGATTTATTAAACTATCCATTTTGATGTTTGCTTTGTAATTGGTGTTGGCTACACCAAACAGTGGGTGCAGGAAAGAGCCTTAAATGAACCCACTAATCCCATAGGAATGGGACCTCATTGATCTTATTCAATTTTTACTTCTCTGACCAAAGGCTAGCTGAAGTGCCCCACTCCTCACCTTAGCAGACCCTGATGATTCACTTTGGTAAGACTTAAGTTGGCTTGTCTAGTTTCATTCTTTCTTAGAGGACAGTGAGGTCTGGGAGCAGTGACCATGTCTTTTTGATAGAACAAAGACATTGCCTGCTATGGGAACTGATTCACAGCAGGTACTTCACATCTATTTGTTCATTGTTGAATTAATCAACGAGTGAATGAATGTCACACAGAGTCTTTGAATATTCAGGTTCAGTTTGTTCACTTTATTACTAAGTATATTAAGTTTGGCATTGTTTTAACTATCAAATAATTAGACGAGCTTATGGCAGTTAAAATACAGTTATCAAATCAATTCTACAGACTGGTGTCTTTCACGCTGTGGATATCAATGTCATCTGTGAGATTTTCAAAAAACAGACTACTTCCCTTAAGTTTCTGAGTCAGTGGGCTTTTGGATTGGGATCTGAAAATTTGAATTTCTAATAAAATTCCAGGTGATGTTACTGATAATGATACATGGCTCACTCTTTACACCCTGATACCAGAGGTACAAATAAATCATGTCACCAGTTGAGACTCTTTCTGTGACATACTTTAAATGAGGAAAATGATACAGAGAAAAATGAGTATACCAGTTGAATAACCCTCACCCAAAGTGCTCAGGACCAGAGAAGTGTTTTATGTTTCAGATTCTGGAATATTTTACACCACTATTACAGAAAACCTGGGTAGAATTTTCAACAGGCAGTTCTTAGGGTCAGAAATGTAAGTAGATCTTAACTTACTCCTAATAAGCAAAATATAAAATACAAAATATAATATAATATAAAATAAATTTTCTGGCTAAAATGTTGTACCTATCAGACACTAAAATCTAGAAGTTTAACAGCATACTGTATTTGTAAGGCTGCCAGGAACAAGCATTCTCACACATTTTTGGTAGGACTGTAAAGTGATACAACTCCTGCGAATGGGAATTAGGCAATAGCTGACAACATTATCTGTGCATTTGTTCTTCGACTTGGAACATCCACCCTTATGAAGGTAGACTGTCAAATTTCCAGGGCATGAAGTGACTCATTGAAGACTATTTAAAATAGCAAAACACTGAAAATTACTTAAATGCCTGTTAATAGGATATTTGCTGGATAGATTGAGATACTTTTTAAATTTTTTTTTTTAATTTTATTTTGAAAGTACTAAAAATGCAAGACAGAACAAAGCCAATTGAGACAATGCAGTGAAATTGGTACAGGATTTCACAGTAGGATACTGGGATAGTAGTAATATGTACTACGGTATATCTTTTTAGTTTCACAATAGTTGTCCAGTCAGTTGGGTATAGCAAAATCAAACCAAAAATAGAACATTATAAAACCAATTGAGAATACTAAATAGAGCAAAAGAAACATAACAAAAGAAAACAGTGAAAACAACCTTTGCCTTCAAATAGAAGATAGAAGGAAATCCCCCATATTTGCAATACTGCATGTGGTCATCCTCCCAAGAGATGCTGAGACATCTATCCCCAGCAGCTACAGGGGAGGTGGGGGAAGGGGAAGGGTGCTTGATTTTTAGCCCGCATGGCAGTAGGCTCACAGGTAATGGTTCTCCTCCAGGTCCACGCCATAGGCACTTACCAAGAGAGCGGGTGAATAAACTGCCTGAATCCTACCATGGCTAGATCTCGGGAGTTCTGGTTCTTCTCCTGGCCCTCACCACGATGCTTATCAAGAGGGCAGGTGAATAAGCTGCCTGAGTCCCACCATGGCCGGATCTCGAGAGTTCTGGTTCTCCTCCCAGCCCACACTGCAGGTTTTTACCAAGAGGGCCAGATTGAGATACTTTTCAGCTGTTGTTGCGTGAATGGAGAAATATTTGTTTGCTACTAGAAAATGACTTGCAAGACATATCAATTAATAAAAAGCAAGGTGAGAAAAAAGTATACAGTGTATGTAAACAATAGAGACTTTTTATATTGTATCTGCACTTACGTTAATAGAAAGCAATAGAAGAAGAATCTGTGAATTTCTTTTAAATGATTGTCCTTGAAAAAGAATGAAGAGGAGAAAGAGACTAATGGTAGTTTTTGTTCACTTTCATTTTATAGTTTTGATGTGGAAATGCTGTAACATTTTACACAACTATACATTAACATTAAATTTTGAAAGCTAATATCTAAAAACTAAAAAGTGAAATTAAACAGATGAAAGTAACTGAATAGCCCCTTGGTGGCATAGCCACACAGAAAACACAGTAATTTGATGCATACACTGAGAAGAATATAGTAAGTCTGTGGGCTGTGAATTAGAGTTGTGAACTTTCACAGGTGTACTGCCTAAGACTCACTTCGTTGGGTTACAACAAATCCAACTTACAGATGTTCTTCTGGAACAGAACTCATTGGTAAGTCCAGGACTTCCTGTGTACACTAGATTCAGAAAGAATTCCAACCAAAATTGTAAGCTGTTTTCGGTAATTATATTTTTGGTGATGGTATTAGTAGTATGGTTCTACATCTGCCTATATTCCAAATTTGTCAAATAAGGAGAGGATAAATCTGATGTGACATATGAAATCATTTGTTAATTACATTTGTTTAAAAATGATTCCTCGCTCTGTCCACAGGGAAGTTACCAACAATGACCAAACCAATAGTAGTGGGCATTCCTTATATCCAGATTGTGACCGCTAAGTACTTTCCTCCCCTAAAGGAAAATGTGGCTTCTTGAAGAAATAGCTGGTTCCAAATCTAGGAACCAGAAATATTGATCCCAGAATGACTAGCCATCCCAAAAAGCCAAGAAAAATTCAGACTATTAGGTTTACATTGAAAAGACTCAAAAAAGACTTTGAACAAGCTTTTCTTGATAAAAAGAAAATAAAATTTAAAAAATTTAAAGAGAGTTTGAGTGTCAGTAACAGTAACTGCAATGAATTAATACTCATTCTCTTTAAAATAAAAAACTTAAATATATGTATATTCTTGGATTATATAATGAAACACAAAGAAGACTTGTCAGAGGATGCTAGGAAAAGCCTCATTATTTTGAAATCTGGTAAATAAAAAATAAAAGATTTTAACTACTTCAATTTACACCTCAACCAAACAGTTGATTAGAGGGGAGTTCCTTTTTATAAAAATAATCCAATAAAGAAGGAATTATTAAAATACTATAGCATCTTTTTGAGGCTTATAATGAGCCAGTGGCTGAAGGCAATGATCATGAATTGAAAGACCACCAGATGTCATGAACTACACTGATGGAAATACATACAAATTAGCTGTGAATTAGTCTTAAAGGGAAAATGCATCTGATTTAGTTTTTAAGTTTAATAATTCACTGGAAATGCCAAGGAATTCAGAGAAGTTCGTTAAGTAACACTGTAGAATAAATCAGACTCAGAAACATGGGAAAACCAGTGAATTTAATCAACAATAGCAACAACAAAATTGCAAAAAACAAAAGGAAAAATATCTTTGGGAGGACTAAAGGACATGAAGTGGA